ATTAAAAAAAGATGAATTTTATTACGAAAGTTTAGGTAATTAAGGTACAGTGTCTGAAGAAGTATAATCAATTAAAAAATCATGCTATGGCCTATGGTTACACATGTATGATGTGCAGGTGCATGCACAGAAAGTAAATAAAATCGAGGAAAACTGAATTGTTTGAATTGAAAATTTGTGGAATTTAGACATTGGACTTTACTTAACTTTTGTAATTTTAACTAGATATTCGCAAGTGATAGGTGAACCTATGAATTAATCAAATTTTTGTAGACATTTTGTATTTAAAATGGAAAAGTATTCAAAATTTGTGGATTTATTATCTATAAGAAGACAAGATTGTGATATTTTATGGGCTTCTCGCCCAATGGACCCATTATCACCACATAAACTTCCACCAGAATCTAAATATTCTAGAAATCAAATGATTAAGGCAGTGTTAAATGATGAAAATGTTAAGTTAGCAATTACTTCTTTGGCTGCAGTATATCAAACAGGTGTAAAAGATGTAACCAAAAGGGCTCATGTTATAATAAATGAAATGGCTAGTAAAGCACACTTAGCCACTGTTCGTTGGATAGGTAAATCTAAAGTTTCTTATTTAAAATTATGTTTCTAATTTATTAAGTTATAAATAATGTTTAAACTTCAGGTGTAATTATTACAAAAGTTCTTAAAAGAATTTTTATGAGTATTTATATCAATGAAACTACAATATACAAAATGAAAAAGGAAATGCAAATTTCTCAAGTTCAATATGTTTACGCACCTTCCCACAGAAGTTACTTAGACTTTGTATTACTATCATACATATTATTTTCTTATAACATGGCACTTCCAAATATTGCAAGTGGGATGGATTTCTATCAAATGCATATAATAGGGGAGTTGTTAAGAAAAACAGGAGCTTTTTACATGCGACGTAGCTTTGCTAATGATTTGTTATACAAAAGAATATTTAGTGCATATGTAATGTCTCTAGTAAAGCATAGTGACAGAGCCATTGAATTTTTCATTGAAGGTACTCGAAGCAGAAGTTTGAAGAGTATAATACCAAAGTTTGGTATGTTAAAATTAATGATTTCATCTCCATAACTTTGATACAGCTATTATACAATGAGAACATAATGTATATATGATTTTATTTTTAGGCCTTCTATCAATCATTTTAGACAGCTTATTAGATGGCAGTGTACCTAATATATATTTTGTACCTATTAGTATTAATTATGAACGACCCCCAGAAGAATTGTTATTTGCATATGAACTTTTGGGAGTACCAAAACCAAAAGAATCTACTGTTGGTCTCCTTCAATCTCTATCTATTTTACAGAAACCACATGCTTATGGTTGTGTTGTTTTTAATATTGGAGACCCTATACCAGCATGCCAATTTTTAAAGATGGAACATCGTAAAGCAAAAGTGCTATCACCTTATGCAAAATTACCAACAACTGTTACTGAGAAGTTGGCTTATTCTATAATAGACTCACATAAAAGAAACACAATACTTATACCTTTTAATTTAATTGCCTTATTATTTAATGAGAGAAGTCAAACATGTACAGATGATCCATATACATTAGATAACTTAATCAGTGATTACTTATGGTGTAAAAATCTTTTAGAAGCATTTAATGCAACAGTTCATACAGGGAGGTAAGTTTCACAAAATAGTAATAGTATTTCAATATTACATATGACATTAGTACAATAGGAAGAATTTTATTTAGGTCATTTGATAGAGATGATGAAATTGCAAACAATGTGAAACAAGAAATATTAGATACTTTAAAGCCTCATGAAGAATTACTTATGTTTGATACATTAAACATTTTGAGACTTAAAGAAAGGCACAGAGAAACAAAATTAAAGAGCAATGCTCGTGTTAAGGGACATACTTTATCAGAAAGAACTATGAGAATAGCTATACCTGTCATTAATATTTCAATTTATTTAAATCCAGCTTTATCCTTTTTGATAAAACCAGCTATTGCCACTGTAGCAATAGGAATGAAAAACATTGAGCTTGGTAATATTACCATTACTTGATTTAGTCATTACTTTATATATATCTTATATATAAAATTGCTAAATAAAATTTTTGTTACTTTTATGTCTAGCAATTGCATTCAAACGATATGCGCTATTAAGAACATTATTGAGTACAGAATTTGCAATGCCTTTAATAGAAGATGAATCTGTGATAAAATCAGAATGGGAAGAAACGTTAAATTTATTATCAAATCGAAATTACATAAGTATTGACAATAATACATATATACAGAGGAAAGATACCAAAGTATTTTCCCTTTTATATAATGTAATATTACCATTTATAGATACAGTATACGTTACATGTCTTGTCTTATTTGAGGTAAAACTAAATATTTTTATGGTGTTCCATATTTATTATATTAAACATTTTTTTAAATATATAAGAATGCATATTTTTTTCAATTATAGTGGGATGAATCAAAATCAAATTATATAACGACGCAAGCAGTTTTGGTTGAAACACAGAAACGAATAGAAGAAGCGTTTCTCGAAGGACGCGAATGGGGACAACACCCTTATTCTTTATCGCTTGATTTGATTAATACAACAATATACAATCTACTAACACAAGGTATTCTAGTACCATATGAAAAACGAAATATGTACCAAGTTGACAAAATTCAGTTGGCGCTAATTCTTGCACAATTGAAAAATCTTTCGCTAAAACGACCATTAGGTTTATATCTTTATATGGCGTTATTGCCTATATTACCACCCCCTTTATCTGCTAAATTATAAGAATAGGATGTTCACATCAAATCTGGGAAGGTACATGTTAAAGCAGATTAAGTTTTACAAGAAATTTATTTGGCTGTGAAAGTTTTAATACACATTGTGTTATAAATATTGGTTTAATTAATATATGATTACTTTTTGTTATAAATATAAAGTCATTATAAAAGATTATTTAGTGTGATATAATCATATGATGAATTTATTAAAACTTAGAAGGAAAACTATGTAAACCTTGAAGAATCCTTGCTGTGTCATCGTCGAATTTGTTTATAGATTTCTTTCTTCTACCAAGAAGGAAAGTAGCACCAGTAGTAGTTGATGCAGAATTGTTCATATTTCTAAATAAAAGCTGAAAAAAATTATTACATAAATATTTAAATCGTAATTATTACTTATAATAATAAGTCTTATACATAATTTATTAATTACCATGACTAATCTAACAAGATACACTGCAAATGTAAGAAATGAAATAGCCATAAGTGCCCCTTCTATGGAAGGAAATCCTGCAGCATGTTCTTGATCATAACTGTGATCATAATGTTCAACACCTCTTTTCTTTCGATCAGCCATTATACTTTCTGCAAGCCGAGATTCTGAAAATATAAATAAATACTTGATTACTACATTCTACATTGATCACTCTTTGCTCTCATTTATTGATTTATTGTAATTCTTGTTGCTTGTTAGTATTCATTTTTTTGTTACCTATTTCCGTAATTAAAGTATATTCAAATGTCTTTAAAAATTGAATCTTTCCTTCACTTGATGTAGGTTGAGATTTCAAAGTATGGTGAACATTTTTAAGTATATCCACAGGCAGATATTTTAAAAGTTCTGAATCGTTTGAAATAAAAGACATATTCAAATATTGTTCGTTTTCTTTTCCTTTCTAAAAATCGGAAGTAATAACGAAATATTAATAAATTTTCGATTGTTTTTTCGAATTGAGCTAAAAAGTTAAATTGTAATAATAACGGTTTAATTACATTAATAGTTAAAGGAACTGTTGTTTCATATTTTTCTGTGTTAGTCACAAATACATTTTCTTTATCAGTATTTTTCAAAACTGTAGATTCTTTAATAGTATCTTTCATGTTATAAAGCTCGTGTTCTCCACTTTTGTTAACTATTGTTTGTTCTATTTTTGCATCTGTATAAGTAAAATTTTGATACCTATGAGAAAATTGATTTTCCACACCTTTTTGAGCAAATTTATAAAAATGATCTTGTTTCGCGGTAGGTATTCTACAAATAAGAGATAAAGTATTCTCATAAAATGTTGATATATATTGTGATTTTGATATTATTTAATATAATGGTTTCATGCTTACCTGTACACTTTTTTTTCATCAGAAAATTGAGGCATGTCTATCCATTCTGCCAAAGTATTGTTCAATAAAAATATATTAAATAATAATATGCTTGTTACTAGCATTTTAATTAATTAAATTATATAGCTTTTATAATAATATTTATAAACATATGTGTTCAGTGATATTGCACAATAATAATAGAAAGTAACAATTCATTTGTTGTACATATTTATGTCCATTAAATAAAATAAATTTGTATATATTGTGCACTTGATTTAAAAGTACTCACTTGTCTAACTGAAAGTGTGTTTGGATATGTAGTGTGACAGGAGCCAGGATGTTATTATTTCAAGCAGAAGTTCTGTTAGATTTAACGAGGGCAAGGATTAGCTTTACAACATAATGACATCAATTCACTGAACATTCGTAAACATTTTTATTTACGAAATTTTCTTTTAAATTCATCGTTTAAAAAACGTTTTCATTTTTTTTCGTTTCTAAAACGAAAATTTACGAATCATTTTAAAATTATCTTAACAGGAAATATAAAGTATTACGAAACTTTTTAGCATTAATAATTTATTTATTCACATCATTATGATAAGTACAATAATGATTTAACATTTCCATATTTTCATGAAAATTTGTTAGTTTCACTTAAATTGAGGCATGTCTATTATATCCTATCCATTATAACTTATCACTGTCTTTTAAGTACTTTTTGTCTGTTAATTATATAAATGTCATAAACTTAATTTGAACAAAATATATTATTGATTATTATGAAATTTAACATTTTTATAAAAACTTTAAAATATTGTTTAAGTAATACAAAAATTAAAAATAGATTTAATATGTACAAACAAATGATTTGTATAATAATAAAAAATACACTGAATGCATCTTACTGCAAAAATATAAAAACATTACAAATACATAGCATTGTGCATCAAATTATTGCGAATATTGTAAAACATGTACATAAAATGCATAAAGTATAACATTATCTATGGGCATTGCACAAATTTTTTTATATATAATTAAAAATACATTTGAAAAATTTATTACAAAATTGTAATAAATGATCTGCTTATACCTGGACTTATTGTCCCAATAATACTAATTATTTAAATGTAGCACTTTAATGTAATTATGATAAATATTTTAAAATTAAACAATGAACATACCAGTAAGCATATACGTAGTATTTATTGCATAATTAAAATAACTTTTTAAAGGAAATTAAAAATATAGGCCATGTACCGTGCACAACAATGCATTCAATGCTACATTAATTAAATATATAAAAAATTTAATAAAAAATGGAATAATTAAGTATTTTGTAATCCAATATTTTTAATAAATCATGCACATGAGATTCGGTTAATTAATCGATGAATAATTAAAATAATTTATATACTCATAGTACAATCTCAGAAAATATAAAATTATAGTAAAAAACTTGTGCTAAAATGTAATATTGCATTTAAAATATTGGTATAATGCTTAGGAAAGTCAAATTTTTCATCAAAGATCCAAATTTTATTACTCAAAAGCAACTCAGTCTTTATGATATAATTGACTACAAAATAAAAGATTACATTTATATATGTTTAATTGTTTAATTCAAAAGGAGATTGTTTTTGTTGACTATGAATATTTTAATTATTTATAATTTACTCCTATTATTATACTAAGACCAGTAGCTATGAACTATGAACTTTTAATAAATTATCTAGTAGCATGTTATGCATTTATTAAATCTTTAATACAAACTGGAAAGAGATATCTCAAACTCACAATAAAGGTACTTTTAATTCAATTGTTTCATAAATATTGAAAACTTTACTCTTAATTACAGGAAGCACATGGAATTACAAATATCCATTACATTAATTAAAAAGATAGAATGTAATTAATTTAAATTTTCTTCTTTTGGATTGATTTTGGAATGTTTTTTTTTAGTGGAACAATGTTAAATGCACAATAAACAATGTAAAATAACTGTATGCACTAATGTAATAAAATAATAAATACATTTAAAACATGCAACTAATATTTTCTTCTTTTATATATTAATAAAAATGATTTCAACAAATTTTGTTTGTTATTTCCTAATACAAAATGTATCACAATAGTAATTATATTCACAACATTATGACAAAATTCTTTCAAAATATGCATAATCGACTTCAAATTATTTGGAATACACTAATGTAATTATTAATTTTTTCCTTGTTTTTATAGTCAGTAAAGTTTACAAAGTTTATTATTATATGTAAGATCGAAAGATTAAGAAGACTTGTTTTATAAAGACTTACTTTTTATCACTTAACAATCAATAATTTGAAGTATATTTTTTGACCATGGTTTTCCTATT